AAACCTCAATTTTTTTGTAAAATGAAATTCTTGCATGCTAGCCAGTCCTCAGTGGTATAACTTCCCATCTATTTAGTCTTCTTCCTTCAGGGTGTTTGTGCTCACCTTCCTCCTACTCCCATGGAGGCACTGAAATGCTGGTCCCACAGATTTCTTCTCTGGGGTATCACTTATCACTGGGGTAGCAATAGCAGACAGACATCCTTCTGACACTTTTGATTTCTCTGGCTCATATACCTGAAATGATCAGAGGTAAGTGAACACAGCCAATACATGGCAGTCTCCTGGTATTTCTTGTTCACTGTCACAGAACACACTCTCAGGTCTCACCCACCACTGAAAAGAAAAACAGGGCAAAACAACAGACAAGCCACCCAGACATCATCTCTCCATCCTCATATGTGTCACAGCTGGCCACAGCACATGGACAGGAACCTGCCCCAAAGAACCACCACAAAAGATGTGACTGGTGGGAGGCAACAGGCAAGAGACTTTGTGTCTCCATGGACATGGAGACACAAAGAAAAAGGACTAGGGCTTCTCCAGAACTCAGCAGTGCACAAACTTTGTAACACCTTCCATACTAAAAGCAGACCTCTAACCTCACTAACATTTATTGCATTAATTTTGTTTAAAATATTGATCTTAACTGCTTTAGTCAGCAATCACTTTCATTGCTTTCTTTCTCCACTTTAGGTGCAGATGGCTGTATTTGAAATGTTATTCGTCAACTGCTTACAAACACAGAGCCAGGGTATTCAGACAACTATCTGTTCTGCTTCCACTTAGGAGTCTGGCAAATGAAGGACACTAAATAAATTAAAAAGAAAAAAAAATGGTGCCTAAATTTAAGAATAAAATCCATGTCTAAGCACTTAAGCACTTAAATATGTGGTCTGATTTAAAAAAAAAAATTGGAATCAAGAAAGTGCCAGCAAGGCCAACTGGGAAGTGATGACTTGGAGAATTCCATCCCTAATTTTGTTGTCTAAATATGAATCCAGGAATAGGGCCCAGGATCTCATTTTGACCAAGATATTTGTATGTATGCTGCCTAGAGCTGGAAGGAATAAATTGGATCACCGATCTCCTCTGAACAGGGAAATCACTGGAATTTTTTTAAAAAGCACTTTCATGTTATTACATTCAGAAGATTGAATACGATGGGCATTGAAAAGACACAAGAAAGTTTGTTCTCATTCTCACCACAGATGTAGGAGCAGAGTACCAGGCCCTACTACCTCGGCACAGGAGACCCAGGTGTTATCAACCCAGAACTAGCATAAGACACTGCTCCTTGCACCGACTCCAGCCACCCACCAGCCTGTCAGGCTCGTACCCCCAAAATTCACTGTTATATAGTTAGCTGAAACACCAAACTTCCTTTTTCTTCAGCAAACTTCACACTACAAAAAAGGGTCTAAAGAAAATAAGATATAAGTCTCTTGCTAGGCTTCTCCATCCAATTCCAATGATGGTATCATGTATTGATTTGCTCTCAAAGATACTCTCAAATGAGCACATCTACATCTCCACTGAGAAGATGGTTTGGTTTGCATGTGGAAAAGCCTTGATTTTCTTTGAAACTACTCTAATAGTTGTAGCTGTTTCTTTCATATGGCTATCAGGCTCAGAATTACCTGAATATGGGAGCTTCCCAAGAGGAGCAAATTATCTGTATTAGCAAAGGCTCCTTTCTAAGTCTGGGTGGTGCCTACACTTAACCAAATCAAATTTTACTTAAAAGCTTTTTAGAGCTTTTGGCTCCATGTGGACATAACATTTCTGGGAAGTTTTGATCAAAAAGCTTGGCATGACTACAATTACAATATTGTTACAAGGCACTAAATGGTATTGATATGTTTAAAACAGAAATTCTGTGTTCATTTTATATACAATTTATCTCAATTGCATAAATACCTGAGTATTTGTAGATTAATCAGTTTTCATCCTCTCCTTGAATCTTTCAAATATTCACGCTTACAATAAAACCTAATAATAGCCAAGCAGCCCATAGAATAATCATTTAATTAAAAAAAGGAGTAGCAACACTGATTTCAGAATTGGACAGCAGCTATTGACTTTTAATAGATCTATTAATATAATTTTATAGTTTTCATTCTTGATTATAACTTAAACAGAATAAACTACAACAGTTGTCCAGGGAAAGAGATATAGTTCTACTGGGTAGTTTTCGTATACTGCTGCCCACTTCGTGATCTATCCCCATTTACATGGTTTTCAATCTTTAAATGAAACAAACATTCTCAGATGGGCAGTGACAGCTATGAGTGTCATAACTGTATTTAATGGAATAAAAAACACAAACTAACTTGTCAGACACACCACGGTGTCAAGCTCAATTACCAAAATAAACAGAGGCAATGGTTAATTTTACTTGCTGCTCACTTGAGACTGCTTCACTGTTGATTTTTGCAGTCTCTTCCTGGGAGGATTACATCTGCCTGGTTTAAAGTTTCACTTCCAAACATCATGTCCNAAAAAAAAAAAAAAAAAAAAAAAAAAAAAAAAAAAAAAAAAAAAAAAAAAAAAAAAAAAAAAAAAAAAAAAGTATAAATTTGGGAAAAGATCCTTCCTTCTCCAGGGAAAATTAGCCTGGATCCTTAGAGGAATGTTATTTAAACAAGCCCCATCTATGAGACAAGAAGTGCAAACAGGTTGTAGCCTGCCATGATGGAAGCCCACCAGAAACTTCCCATGTGAGCAGGCACAATAAATGTGTCTTTCTCCACTGCCTTGAAGTAGATGCCTACATGCCACCCAAATGTCATGAGGAACCATAAGATCAAGTTCACATTGAGAGCAGTTAAAATACACAAGGATGATGAGAGAAACATTTTTTCACCACATTATTTTTTTTTTTATTTTAAACACAAGCTAGCATCTATCATTATTTTGGCAATGCAAAAGTGCAGCAGATGTTGTCACCTACTGCAGGGCAGAGAGCTAGTGGATCTCTGCTTACTCACTCAAGCTGAAAAGGTGGCTCATCCTCCCTCCAGTCATTCCTTTGACTTGGATAAAGAAAGAGCCTCCCATCTGGAACTGTTTTCCTGAAGTGATTCACCCCATGCTGTTTCACACACTTGCACAAAAAGACCCAGTGACTGTGAGACCCAAACTGCAGTCTCATCACCATAACAGATCTTGCTACTTCCAGGTCATTCAGCAGAGATCACATCCAAACTCAGACACACTTTGACAAGTACCCACAAAGGGTTTGACCAGACTCAGTCCAAGGCAAAAGCTCACATGCTGACCTTTAGGCGTGCACTGGTCACTCAGTGCACTGAAGCCAATAGTGTGCAAAACCTTCACAGAGGCAGGATCACTCCAGCAACTGATCAATCTGTACCTTCACTTCTACAGTCCCAAAGCAAAATCAGAGCTTCTGCAAGATTCTCCAGCTGTGGAAATGCCAATGGGAGAAATGAAAAGCAGAGGACAGAACAGTCCTTAGCAGGAGCAAGATGTGGGGAGACTTAGGGACTCCAGGCAAAGTGCAGCCCTAGGGGCAGCTGGGCAGAGCTCAGGCGCTGTGCTGGGTCTGTGAGCACATGGCCCTGAGCACCAGCTCTGCAGGCTCTGGGCTGTGCCAGGCCAGCCTCGTTTAGTCCTTTGCACCATGACTGCTGAGCTCCGGGATCCCGAGTGCAGATAAATGGCACGTTCTTTGCAACATGCCAGTGGAAACCCTACTTTAGCATTGGGTTGAACAGGCCTGTGTGCTTCTCTAGCCTTTCTTCCTCCCTGGTAAGCATTGAAAAGATTGCATTGCTTTGTACAGGAGACTTCCTCATCACAGGGCAAAATAAAGTCACCTATGAAATGCACTGATAAAGGTTTTTCATTTCACATCCAGCAGCTGAAAAACAACTTTACCAGCTTTACCAGTGGTGTTGGTGGGGTTGATTGATTTTTGTCCTTTTTTTCATTTTGTTGGTTGTTTTTGGTTTTTTTGTGGGTTTTTTTTTGGTTGTTGGTTGGGTTCTTATTATTGTTCTGGTGGGGGTTTGGGTTTTTTGTGTGTTTTTTGGGGGGAGGGGTTGGGTTTTGTTCTTTGTGGCTTTTTTTTTCCAGTTTAAGAGGCACATTAATGACCCATTTATTGCTGGTAACTAGTCTCTGGGTAGACTCAAATAGTCTGTTGTACTACTAGACAGTAGTACAGAGGACTACTTGCTGTAGGTTAAGCAATAGTCCTGACATTCTATTCATACACTGAACTAAGCAATATTTTGAGAAATACTAAGCCACATTAATTTTATAGACAAAACCACAGTCAAAAACTATACTAATGGTCCTCTACTCTGACACCAACTTGAAGGAGGGTGGGCGTAGTCCTTTCCTGCATAGGGGTATGTGCACATCACATAGCACTGTTTCACTATCTCTATGGTTTAGATTACAACGGAGTTTTGAGTTTAGAGCTGAATATATAGAAGCTCTTAAATTACAAGAATTATTATTGCAAACTTGACTGCAGCTACAGTTGGTGTTCTTGGAAGATGAGAGTGCAAGTAACAAGAAGCTAACAAATTCATGCCAGTAAGTCAAGTTTAATTTGCTTTCCTTTTCCCCTCCCTTCTAAAGCTGGCTGAAATACAAGTTCCACTGTAAATGCAGTGACTAGCAAACATGGATGCCATTACAAATACAGCAGTGCCAAGAGGAAGTCCTCCGTTGACTAATAACAGAGTTTCCAATGGCAACCGTAAGATATTCTGGGCACTGAACTGAAGAGATTTAGGGATACATTCTAAACAAGATTTGCTTTTTGCAGCTACATAATATGAATTGCATAACATTTGGACAAAAGGTTTTGACAAAGTTACCAATAACTTGTATCACAAAGGCAGAACTGGAGGTTTTGGTGGCTCCTCAATGACTTTTACATCATCAGGTAACACTGAGCTCTCCTTGTCAAGCCTATTACCAAAGTATGGTTGAGAAAATAAAGATAGTCATTGCTACACAGCCTGGCATTGCAAATGTCCCAAGCTTTTGCTGTCAACTGAGACAATATGAACACATAGACTTTTATTTTGGAAAGAGGAGACTGAATGCTTGATAATACTTTTGTGTAGCATTTGTCACTGTCAGAGCACAATACAGAACATAATGAAGTTCATTTGTTAATTAAGTAACCCATTCTCTGAAAACCTATTCTTTAATGCAACACAGCATCTGTAACATTACAAAATCATTTACTAGAATTGGAAAATTACTTTTATAAAGATCATAATATATGACAGCTTCTCTTCTCAGCAAGCCCTTTCTTGCTGAGTGCAGGGCATTTCAAGCAGTTACTGCCCCTGCAGAGGATTTTTAAACTTCATTTTTAAATTTCAATATGGAAAATACTCTCAATTTCCATTGCTGTAATTCAATAGTTCTGTTGGAGATTGCCCATGCATTTTCATTGGAGTAATTTATTTAACCTTTGAAGTAAACATAAATTTGTCAGAAATATTTGCAAGGTTGACTTGTAAGCTCTACTATGTGGAAATCTTGCCAAAATACAAGCACAAATCAGAGTGCTAAATAGTAATTTCAAAGAGATGCCAAACTAATGAAAATGAGAAGGTGCTAAGCAGCCAAATGACATGAAAATTGTCATCAAATAGCTGAAAACAAGAAACAGAACAAATTTCCTTACAGAGAAACTGATATACTAAATGCCCAAGTCTGACACTGCTTTATTAAAAGCTGCCTCTGAACAAAGCTTTATATACATCATATTTCAGCAGAATGTGCCTGCTACACAAAAATACTGCATTGCTGGTTTTTAACAGCTTGGAGGTAATTGTTATGCACTAAGTAATTTTAACTTTCCCACCGAGTTTCATTTTAAAATGCAACTAAGTTACACGAGATGTAGGTGCAACAGAAAAAATTACTAATGAGGGCTTAAAACTCTAGATGGCACACTCATACAATCAAACGACTACAACAGAAATACACAGCACCAACTATGATATCTTCTGACTTTGATGTTTTCCACCCAAAGCATATATAATCTAGCCACACGTACTGTTCTGAGGCCAGTTTGTGAATTATTATTATAAAAGGATATGCACTATTTCCCCAAGTTACAATTGGGTGATTTAATAAAACATTATGCAATATCTGCAGTTTTGTATTTCAACAGCAGTGATTAAGCTATTTTATGATTCCACATACAATTAATTCTCATGTCATGGCATCCATTCTGTCACACTCCAACCTACTTCGTGGATAAAACTGAGATCCTACATGTTTCTTGAAGGCCCAGTCTCATGCAAAAAACAGCTCGGTTATACACATTTACAAGCTTTGAAGGAAGTTTTTTTGCTGGTTTGTCTTTAAGAAGGAACTCAGCTGTATTTTATTACAACAAGTCCAGGATCATAATGAATACATTTCAATACACAGCCTTTAACCTATCCATCTATATAAATCAGGCAGTATAAAATCTAAAAGTCTAATCATCCTGGATGGTTGTAGCAGCCATGAAAACAACATTGCAACACTGGTATTAGAATTTGCCAAGGGTACATTGATGCTGTTATACAATCTTACTGAAGCTGTAGTAAATGAAATGATAGCTGTGCAACTGAATTGCCACAGTGCACATCTGAACAACACCCAGAATGATCAGAGGTGCAAAATATTGAATTAGGGTGTTTGACTCATTATCTGAGGAAATAAACCAGTGCCTGAAGACAAAAAGACCACAGTTTTACAGTGTGCTGGATGCTTCGTGCTGATGGTGTAACAAACACTACCCCTCAGAAAGTGCAAGGCACCTGAACAAGCTCTCATGTCACCCTGTCAGTGCAGTACCCCTTGCTCCAAGTGGAGAAGCACCACAGCAAATGGGTGCCCATACCAGGGACACAGAGCTGTAGAGACCAGCACAGAGCCCCAGCGGAAATTCACCATGTGCAACACATGTACAAGAAAGGAGACAGAGAAGGAAGAAAAAAAAAAAGAATATGCATACACCGATCAGAGAATTATGTGGGCATGGAAGCATTTGCCCACAAAGCCACAGAGAAAAATGTCTTTGCCCTTAAGCCAGTACAACAGCACCCTGGAAGCAAAGTCCACAACTAAGTTTTCTCCATTTCTACAGTACTAGATATGAACTCATTAAGAAAACCCTTAACAAACTCTGTTCTCTAATAAAGTGTACTCATAATCACTCCTTGATGTATTTTCCAGAAAGTGTACCTCTGTAGCATGTTTTTACTCTTAAATGTGCAATTAAGAAAAATATTTAGCATATGTTATTCATCTACATATATAAATTTAAGTCTGTATTTTTTTAATCATTTAATAAGTTTATTTCTACAAATTATGGCTTAGAAGCAAGTACTGTACATACAAAAATCTGAGTATACTGATGTGCAGCACGTCATTTCTTTGTGTTGTTTATGTAGATAAGTTATTAATTTCAGTGGGTATTGATCACATTTCTTATAGCAGCAATAAATAGGCATTTTACTTTTCATAAAATGTTATTTTATATAGCATGTAATCAATACAAAATTAACTTTTAACAGCACTAGAGTAACATAACCCACAGGTCATTACAGGTTGAGTGTGGTATTGGAAAATTTCATATTAGTTCTCTGTGCCAAGCTAAGACTGAGTGATTTGCAGGGTCTCCAACATGTCTTCCACTGCCTTCAAGGAGTATTTAGTTTCTTTCTTACTGCGACCTGCAAACTAAACAGGAAAGAAAGAATTTCAGATATATGACAACTAACAATCCTATGTCTAAATCCTGTGGAAATAACAGTTATACACAACAAATACCAATAATTAACTCTATTTACTAAAAAATCAAAAGCACAAAACTAAACCTCAGATTTTTTACAAGAATACAAGCTTTATCACCTTCTTCTATGAAGCAAAAATACCTTCTGTTAAAGGAAGACAGAAAAAAACCCTACTTATCAAGATTTACTGTAAAATAATCCAGACAACATACAATTATATTTTATAGTTCAAAGTAGCCATGTGGGATAACATTGTACTTGACTGTAGCCTCCTATTAAAACTCCAATTTCAGAGAACATTTGAAATAAAGTCTGTCTTGATAAGAAAGAAAGATACAGCTTAACAAATACTACTAGTGGCTTTAAAAAGGAAGGAATAGAAGGACAGGAAATGTTGACCATCCCATGTTGAACTCAAAAGGGTTTTTCTAATGATACTGGCAATTGCCATCACTCATAAGCCATATCTAACAGAGAGGATTCATTGACCAGGTTGGTCTTTAGTCAAATGAAACTCCTAACCATTTTTAACACACCTGCACTAAAAAGTTTTGCATTTCAGGTTGGGAGGGGTGGTAAAGAAATTACAGAAACAGTAACTAAAACTTGCTTTTAGTAAAACAGCCTATCCTCTACTTAAATGTTAACATCTAAACACTCAATAAATTTTCAATTTGAAGTTTTTTATTTCAAATACTACTGGTGTTTTGCACAGTTAGTCCTTGATTTATAATGTGTCCCTTCTCTCTTATAATTAACTTAATTTAGCAAACTCTTCATGACCTGTTAAGAAAGATTAAGTCATCAAACTCAGGTAATATCACACCAGCAACAAGCTGCAGGACCTGTTAACCTGCTTTTGACCCCTAGGCTACAATCTAGCATTGCAATTCCCAATCAGCACTGAGTTTTTTTAAAAAATAGTTTTGGCACAGTAAATAATAAGCTATCTCAAAGAAAAGTTAGGAGAAATTTTGTTACTGTGACAACACTTTACAGCTTAGAGATGTACTGAAAACACTGTCTTTTTCATGTTTTAGATTTCCAGGTGATTAACTGGTGTACCACGTTTTGATTCTAGTAATAATATATATATAAACCCATTCTTCAGGTTGTGCAGTTTCCAAAGTGACACGCAATAGCCAACTTCAGAGGAAAATCCAAGATTTCTTAAGATATGTCAAGGTGAAAGCAGCAACTTATGTTTTTATCTGATTGAATAAAATATCCTCTCTTTGTCCACATTAAACAGACACTTGGAAATTCCAAATCCTTTCACAAAAATAAGCAAGTTTAAAAAACACAAGTCAAAAGTTTCAAGTGAAAAATTGCTTTCAACTCAAAGCATTCAGAAATTTCAATAAAAAGCATAGAAGCCTAAATGTACTGTGGTCAAAAAGCACTTGGCAAGACACGCAGAAAGCATGCAGAGAAAAGCTCTAAAATAAAGACAGATTTTACTTATTCTCAACATAGACACTGGAAGCAAAATTGACATATGACATTAGTTTAAAAAAATGCTACTTGCTAATTTCAAGAGTGGCTGCCTTCATGATGCTGACATGTAGTTTAAACTGAAAAAATAAAACCAAACTCTACGTCATAACAACCAGAAGCACACTTGGAAATGTAATCACTTCAAATTTGCCCTGACGAACAATTATTTTGTCTATTTAGCCATTACACAGCAATTTGACTGATTGAGCTGGAATCCATTTCTTAAATCATGACTTAATTTTCTGTTTCCCAAATGGTTAGTAACAAAATCACCTCTCTCCAGCCATAAATAAAATGTAGATTGCTAACACAGAAGAGTTTAGCAGTGTACCAAAGAAGCATGTATCTGGAAAATTACTGTGAGTAGGATCACATTAAAGATTTTTGTGAGCATTAATCAAACTCGCCTTCCTCTGCTGAAATGCTTCTACCAGAGGACATGCTAAACCAATTACCTAATTGAAGAGCACCAGGTAGCTTTATTTTGTTTTGGTTTTAAAGTAACTGTGACTCATGTCCTCAGAACAGACAGAAGTTCTTCTCAGGGTCTGCACATTTGGACTTATCCAGTTTCCCAGTCATAAGGCAAAAGTAACCTTGTAATAATAATAAACTTTAAACTAATTCTTTGAATAACGAATTCTTAATTAACTTCTGAAATAAAATATTAAAATTAAATTTTACTTGGGTCTTTTTTTCCACCCAGTCAATTAAATTTAAGAAGCCTGGAGCATAATGACTTTTTTTTAAGAGGATGTGTTAGCAGCCAGGAATTCCAGCTCCGTACAGCAGCCCTAGCTACAAAACCTTTCTGTCTTCCTGAAGAAGTTTACATTTCTCCTAGATTAGATACAGATGAGAAGTACTAATCAGCATGGATGGTTACATATTTAACATAAAAATAATTATATTATCTAGCTGCAGTGTCAAATATCTGTACATTTCAGAAAATTTTTTAGCCATTCTTTATCACCATGTTTTCCTCTAAAGACAGTGCTGCACAGTCTAACTAACATTGGTGAAAAATGTTTTCTTTCTATACTCAAACACTGCTTTCTTTAAATGACAATAAACTAAGAAGTTCTTCTGATTTCAGACAGGAATGCAAAGGAAAACAAAAATCAAGTGCCAAAGCACACTGCTTGAATGACAGAATAAAATTAAAAAAAGGGACCGGTAAAAATATTTCAAGTAAACTGCACACAAAATACACTTAAAAATAATTAAACCATTTTTAAAAAGCAACTGTAGCCAGTTGTTTGAAAAAATAAAGGCAGTTTTCCAAAATTATTGAGCAAACTCCTGGTAATTCAAGTTCAAATCCAAACTGGAAATGGGGAAAGATCTCATTGCAAGACAATTGCTCAAAATTAACTTTTTGCATTAATAACTTGGAATTTAAAGTCACAAATTCATATAATTTGTATAGACGTTCAAATCAGGATTCTAAATTCATCCTGCTCTCTAGAACATGCACCTGAAAAAATTCATTTAGCAGTATGAGAATGTCCAACCAATAAAACAAGTCAATGTCAAACCCAACAAGCTGTTAAGGCTCTTACTGCACTTTACAGGTGGATAGTGTGGAGAATTTACAGAGATCATATAAATATACAGCTTAAAACCTGTCTAGACATACCCTCCCACTAAGGCAGGAGCACTGTATGGGCTTCTCCTGGCACAACTGACCAAGATTTCATCCTCAGGTCCAAATGGTGACAATTTCCAACTGCTCAGCTCACAGAGCAGAGGAGCAACAAATCAACACTGACATAGGGGAACTGCCACCTACTGCATCACCCAACACCTCTGGCTGTAGCTGCTGGAGGTTCTGAGTCTCTGACACAGAGACTGGGGCAGCCAAAAGCTTCTGCAGCACTGTAACAAGGTCAGGAGGGTGGACTGGGGATGTCCTGCCCAGCTGGGCTCACTGGAGCTCCTTGTGGTTCTTCTGGGAAGGGGAATGGGGGCATTCACCCCATTTATTTGTCAGATCCTGGCTTCAGCTTCAGTACTTCCATTTTCTCAAGAGCTGGATTTCCCTATATCCCAAACACCTAACAAGAGCAGAAAAGGAGGCTATATATGTATGTACATATGTATATGTGTGTATCTGTATATGTATGTATGTACATTAGGTGTGTTGACACAGCCTGTTCTGGTAAGCATCAGCCAAAAATGCTTAATGTAGGATCCAAAAGAACTCCACAAAAACAGTAATAGGAATTTCAAACTAAAAGAAAAAAAAAAAAAAAAAAAAAAAAAAAAAACAAACAAAAAAAAACCCAAAAAACCCCAAACAAACCAACAATCCCCCCGCAAAGCCCCTAAACCCCCTGCACTTAAAAATGCCCCCAAGCACTACACCACTCCCAATAAAATTCATGTTTTATTAGAGACATTGTATGGTAACAGAAAGATATGAGGAGAAAATAAGGAAAAGGAAAAAAAAAAACAAACAGGTGTGCTTATCTGGATGGGAATCAGTTAACTAGAAACTGTAATGATTAAACATCCATTAAATTTAGAACTAGGAGATGCCTATTTCCAGGTCCTCTGTGCCATTCCACAGCCTGCACTGGTTTTAAATTTCCACCCAGATGAACCCTGAAAGGGACTGTTTCCCAGAAGTGCTAACAAGTCTCTACCAGTACTTTGAACTCCAGTCACAATATTTACTTAAAACATATGCAAATCCACTCTATTCTAAGCAACTGATTTTATTAAGATGTAAAACATGGAATACTGGTTTCCACTACAAATTCACAAATCTTTTAAAATCTGTTTTGTTCTGTCAATTATGAATCTGTGGTGTATTCCATTCTTTAATATTTTTTCTAAGTGTTTGGCTGTTTTGGTTGAATTTGTGTTAGGATTTTTTTCTGTTTCTTTGGGTTCTTTTGTTGTTGTTGTTGTTGTGGGTTTTTTTTGGTTTTATTTGGTTTTTAGCCTGCAGTACTTGAGTTTTCCATCTTCGCTGCGCTTACAGGAATGTCAGGCATACCTCAAGTCAAAAGAAGCCCTGGTTATTTACAAAACATCAGACAAAGTAGTTAATTCATACACACCTTAGCATCATGAGCTGGTAAATGGTTTATTACTGAAAAACAGAGCGATTTAAAGAGCAGAAGAGAAATAAACTTTAGGCACGTAAGTATAAAATGCTTCATTGTCCCTAGAGATACAATGCTCTTCACTGTACAGTCAGAAGCTACAGGCCCAATTAGGAGAAATGGAAAATACCTCTAAGTTGGAATATATCAAAAACACATCAGCCACAAGAAGCTGCACACTTGGCAAGGAACCGAAATGCAGTTAAGTATTAAGAAAACAGCACTGTCTGTAAAAGGAAAATCTAATTTAATTCCATAATAGATGCTGCTTGTAAAAAGGCCATTTGGTAGTATTAACTGTGAAATGGTAGCAAGAAGAAAAAAATTAAATATTGGGTTCCAATACTGAAATATTGCAGGGAGAAAGAAGAGCTACATGTATACAAAGTCTTTGCATTTAACATCAATACTTTTGCTCAACAAAAAAGTTGTGGGGAGAACTGGACAGTATGCTGTTGATGTCCAGGATTACTTATGTATAAACTTTGATTGGCAGATCATTAAGAATAGCTGTAAGGGAGAAATATTTGGGAGAAACAGACAGCAGAGCCTATGAGCTAAAACATGTTTTCATTCATATTTATAGAAAGAAATAGAGGCTTATAACACAGCAGGAAATATAAAAGTTTAAACATAACTTTTTAAAAAGTTGGAAAGACTCCCAATCACTTCAGCAAGCTTTGATTATGGCCTACAAAGTCTACATTTTCACAACTCAATGAGCATTTCTCTACAAAACTACACAAAACCAACTTCAGACAGGAATATTAAGGCAATTAAATATGATTTTGAAAGGTTAGAGTAAACTCAAGGAAAAAAAAATCCTAGAAGTTTCATTTGTTTTCTAGTAAAGTAGAAGTGGATAACAAAGTTACTCTAAGAATTAAGACATAGCAAGTTTTATCAAAATAGCTGTAGAACCAAGTCTTGAAGGTCAATATTACAGTAATGTACATTCAGTTAATGTTAGTAGGAAAAATATGCTTAAAGCTATTAAGTAAATGATAGCAATTAGTAACTGTAAAATTATTAAGGTTTCCAGGAAACCTTAACCTTTTATTAATTAAGGTTTCCAGGAAATCAAACAGAAGCAGAATGAAAAAAATATAAGCAGATTATGCTGATTTACATGTCATATTTAACCTCTTGAACAGTAGCTGATAAAAGTGCAGAAAAGAACTATAGAGCATGTTACGAGTATCATAAAGCAATGAAGTACTAACCTGGTATGCTCTGTTTATTTGGTTTGCAGCCCAGCTGGCATATTTCATATTATCTTTTTTCATTTTTGCACTTGCTTTTGGATTGGAAGCAATATGACTGGCAGACTAGGAATAAAATAAAATAAGTGTAATTATAAAATTTATGTGCATGAAATAAACTGAGAACACTGAGCATCTCCTTACAGTCTAAGCCCTATGCACAGTGATAGTGGAAAGAGACAAAAAAAAAATGCTAAAAGTTACCAGAAAACAGCATCCAGGTAAGAATCAGCTAGACTTTTAAAGATATTGTTTGTTCTATTTAAAGGTACATTAGACTTCAGTTCAGTTCTGTACTGACTTAAGAACCAAACCTGGACATGATCAGCTAATCCAATCTTCTTCTCCTAAAGTAAGAGTTATGAATTAGTTTTCTACATTCAATTTTTTACCAGAGACAATATAAAATACATCACTTGTATGTCCAAGCTGCCATTAAAAACATTACATGTTTCCCTGTAATATCAGAAAACACATTTTAAAAGCAGATAAGACTCTACATAAAATATGCCCACCTTCACCTGAAAGAATAAAATAATATTATTTAAGAACCAAATTAAGTTTTGTACTTATATAAATAAATCCACTGTGCAAAGAACCACTGCTACTATGCTGGTGTTTTTCAGCAGTCACCTTCTAGAGAGGATGCATGACTTTAAATCCTTTTTGAAGAAGTTACCTTCCCATGCCAATAATAATTCTTTTGAAAATACAGGCAAGACTTAAAAGTTAAGAGCACTTCTGTAAGGAGTAGTTACTAGCACAGAATTATCCCTACTCAAATAGTATGTAAAATACTCTGAATTTTAGAACAGTGTTAATCATCTGAGCTATTAAGTTAAAAATCAGGGAAAAAACAAAACAGCAAACAGCAAAGGATAATATACATGCATAAACAAATTTAGAATGATAACATGGAAAATACCTAATCATGCTTACCATGTAAAGTCCAAACAGAGCTCTCATATTTCTGTTGTTAAGCTTCAGTGCTTGTGCAAAATACTTTCTTGACAGCTCAAGGTTTTCAAGCCCCCCCTGAGTATATTTAACCTGTAAAAATGGTAAACTCCTGAAACTTGCACGTCGTTCATACTTCAGGCATTCAATCTCAAGCAACGATACTACAAAAATTTACTCCAAGTTTGTTTCACATGACATTTCTAATCACGTGAATCCTATCAAAAGCCTATCAAAATATATATCTTTGCAATATATACATTTAAAAATATTTAACTATAGGAGAAAAAAACACAGCATTAATTTAATTAATTAATTGCTACAAGATTAAAAAGTGATTATTTTCACCTATAAATACTTGAAACCTTGGGATTGTCTCTTATAAAAAGTAGCAGAAATTTTAAATCTAAATTCTGACTACTAGAAATCCATACTGACTCTATGTTCCCACAGCATGCATGAAAACAGTTCGCAAAACAACACAATGACTTTCATTATGTATTCAAAATAGCACACAAAGTTTAGAGGATTACTCCATTATTTTTCTATTCATTTTTCCAGATATCAGATCAACAAAAAGAGGGATAAATACTAGAAGATATGCTTCAAAGTCTTTTTATGACAAAGCTACTTAGGCTTTCAAGTTTTAATGTCAACCCAATTTTACCCATGTTAACTAAACAAATTAAACCCAATCTAAGCAGTTAACACTATAATTTAGGAAAAAAAATAATCTGGAAAAAAAAAAGACAAATTCAAATGGCTAAAACCTTGAGCTAAAACTTCTAATTTTACCTCTAACTTTTACTTCACTTCCACCAGTGCTCCTTCAGGCAGAAATTAGTGGATTCAAGTATCTGAGTCCACAGTAACAGGCAATACATCATAACCTCCTAGGCAGCATTGTTGTAGAGAAGTTTAGCTTCTCATGCACTTAATTTGAGAAGTGCATAAAGACTTAAACAAGAAGAGTTCATTTAAAATTAGCTTTTATCTTGAATAATTCCTCCCCCAACTCTTATATTTAGCTTAGTCACACTGTGACTGAGTCAGAGTATGAAAACACAATTTCCAGAACATGTTCAGTTCTATGAGATGTTAGCATTCTCTGTGAACTCTTTTAAAATCTCCTAGGGAAAAATTAAAGAAATCATTTTCACCACTTCTGTAACATAAAAACAGAAAATGTAATCAAACATAATTGATTTTTCTGAAATACCTACTTCAGCATATTGTTGACAATATAAGTGGTTGTGAGGATTAGTCATCATAAGCTCCTCTAAGCAGAAGGCTGCCTTTGCATAGCTGAGAAATACAAAAACAGTGATAAAAAGGAAACATGAGTACACAGCTCTTTGCTTCAGTTTTTTTTACAGCACAATACAAGTATTACTTTTCCCCCCAAAAAATCACATGATTCACAATTAAAATGCTTCATTTTAAAATAAAGTTTAGAACCAAGTTACTATTTTTGCATCATAAACAGAGGAAAAATACACAAAATCTAATGGAAGAGCTCACGAAAAGCATTTAACATACTAATCTCTTATTAATAAGTGCCAGTTGTTATCAGCAGGAGTGATGATAGGTATTAGGTACTGTAAGACACTGAACTGAGACAATAAAAATAATTCCTTTTTTTCATAAGAAAATTCAACTACCTGAGGATTCATAAACACAGCTACTGTTCACAGCATTTACACTGTCAGTTAACTTTACCTGCCAACAGTTAACCACAGAACTAAGACAAAAAAACAACAAACTAAGACTATTTCTAAAATTCAAACAGTCCAAATCTATGTATGAAAATAGCATCAGACCTCTCCAAAATGGGCATATCCTTATCATTTGAGACGGCTAGTCCTTGAGTTTTTTAGTGAGAACTTTCAGAGAAAATTAAGAAGTCAAGCTCAAAATGCAGGTTTATTGAGAAGAATCTTGGCTTTTTAATCTGTCAAATAATGGAACTGCATGCAGAATTTGCACCATCTAGAGATATGTGATAGCACTATTGCACAGTTTATTGCATAGGATTCCAAAATTCAGAGATAGAAGGTTTATGATGGCAGTGTGGATAGATATTTAATATTGCAGTAAAAACAATTTAGCAATTATGAGACCATATTAAGCCATATTATCTGTAAAATCTTGTATCCTAAAATAAATATGCTGTGGTTTTCTCCAGTGCATGTTATGATTGTAATGTATCTGTATCACTTATTAATCTGGAGATACAAGGGCAGCCACCTCATTCTCCAAAAGCAGAAGCCAGAGTCCTCATTGCAGAACAGGGTAGAACTGAGGACTGTGTAAACCTTATATATCTATGTGTGCTAATGAACAAAAATGAGAGCATGGTGATTTCACAAGCCCTGTGACTTGTGACCCTGATAAAACATATAAGCTGATGAATTGCATTCTTTTTTAAAACTTAACTTTTAGTTGCTTTTAGCTAAGATCCCAGTTTTTCCCTATTAGCACAATAATAATAATGATGCTTATGGAAGTATAGAGAGGACAGTGAATTCTTTCCATGAACTGAAGTTCTACATATTGCTTTTCATTGGAATTACAGGCCAAAACAAATACAAGCAAAAGCAATTTCTTTCTCAGGTTTTATTGCACAGTTTCATAATAAAGATTATAGTGAGAAAAACACAACCCAATAATGGGATACGTATATTTGAATCACTCTATCATTCACTTTTGTACTGACAGATTGGCAAGCTCAAATATCTTTCCAGAAAAATTTTTTCAGTAGCTATTTTCTTGGAAAAGGGGCTGGTAGATCTCCCCAAACAAATGGAAATCTAGGTATCAAAATTCCTAGTTTATTCCTGAAGTCATCATTTAAAAGAGTTAAATGACTATTTTCTTTGAGAATGGGATACAAGGAAAGGTGACTGGGGAACAATTTTTCCCTCACAGTGAGAATAACTTCCTTGACAATTTGATTCTTTTACTACCCTCTGAAAAGGAAAGAAGGAAACAATGTGATAGAATTCAGGCTGGCCTGAAGAACCAAAGAAAGAGGGAAAAAAAAAAAAGATATGCCTTTTGGTGGAGGTTTGAATTAATGCTGTGATATTAGAAAACTTGCACTAAGGCTTTGGAGCTAATCCTCTCACACTGGGATTTCCTCCTGTCACTACAGCAATAAAAAAAGCTAACAAAAACATTAAATATCCAATAAGCAAGTTACTACAACATTCAGCATTCTTGATCGCACTGGGTTTTGTACCCAGGCGACCAGATGCCTCCAACTCTCGATCTATGTTTTGCTTTGTGGGTTTTTTTAAAAAAGGTTACTAAAAGTTCTGGGAGAGGTAAGCTAAAAGAAAATTAGAATATTGGTTACTGTGATCAATTGATTTAGAAGTAACAAGTAAAATACATAACTTGAAGAAAAAATTATGGGAAGTAAGTGCTGTCCTCTGCTGCACTCAAACCACTTCTTCCAAACATCAGATTTTTAAAAACTACTGAAACATACAGGTAATTAAGTAAACTCTTTTTGTTTGAAAAACAAATGCCTTCTTAAAGTATTTGCTAGCCAAATAAGCCCGGTAATTATTTCCAGTTGAGACCTAGTATATTGGAAATGAGACAGCATACTTTGTAACACTAGTCCTTATAAAAAAATCACTGTGGTTTTTGACGTACACAGAGTGGGTTTCAAATTAACATTTTCTATGCAGACTCAGCAAACAACTTACTCATGTTCATTGATGTAAAGTTCTGCAAGTTCATGCCAAGCTTCTTGGTCACCAACAAATCTGTATTGAGAATACAAGAGAGGGAAAAAGGAAAAAAAGAAAGAATGTGGAAGGGATTCTGTAAATGACTAGCACTGAAGCAAAAGCGTAAATTAAATGCAAATTCCACTTTAATTAAAAAGATTTATCAGAACAGCAAAACACAATCCGTATTCTTTTAAGACACTCACTGTTCCAGATACTCATTCAGCTCTCGGATGGCCTCGAGATTTTTCCCCTGGGCTTTTCGAATGGCAATCTTACGCTTTCTTGCTGCCTATGGGTTGACATTAATAAAGGATTAGGCCTCATAATTCCCTGGGTTTTTGTAAGGAAAGCAATTTGACTGTGCAAATTATTATCTCAATACCAGTGGAATTCCACTGCAGAGACACTGCCAGGTTGAAGTTTATAAACATACCCTATCAGATCCCACTGAGAGACTGAAAACCTCTTCTTACAATCACATTATGTATGCTTTTCTTTGGAGGCACAAACTGTATGCATTATTTCATTCAGATAAATGACTGTCCAGATTCTGATAATTACAAAACAGCAGGGGATGCTAATCTTCAGCCATTCCGACTACCCCCACCTTGTCATTCACAAGATCCATGACTGTAGAGGAGAAATGGTGACTGAGCCCTAGAGAATCCCACAGATGCATCTTGGTTGTCTCTGTGTAAGTATGGCTTTCAGCCATATTATTGCTGAAGTGCTGAATGGCACCTTTAACTAATGCTAAATGCACACCAATTCCCTAAACAAGTCTCTCATAATTCTTGGAGTACAAAGTAGGGTCTGCAATGAAAAGGCAATACAAAATAGCTATTTCAATGCAAAAACCAGTACTTTGATATGTGGGTAAAAAATGTATTTTGACTTAAACAATATAAAATCGAGTTATAAGAATTATAATGTATTTAAATTTTGAAATCCATAAAAGTCAGAGACCAGAAGGAAGAAAGATACAGAGGATTGTACTGGCTGATTATTCTTTATTTTAATCCAATATTCCACCTTCTGAATGATGCTGGTTACAGTTTTCAGGACCCACAAGGATCTCATTGAGTCCAGCTCTTACAAGAACGGTTCTAACATATATAAAACCTGTGACCTTGAGAGTACCAGCACCATGCTCAAACCAACTGAATATCAACAGACACCTGAGGTGTGATTCAAAACAAAGGAATCTTCCCAGCCAGGAGCAAACAGCACACCTCAGCCAGCCTGCAAGTCATCAGATCAGAAATCTAACAGAATGGAAGGAAAACACAATTCCAGCAGAACATTAACTCAAAAAAGGAATGCCATTAGCCTCCTTCTTTGCCTCTAATCCCTGTGCTCATGGGTGACCACAACCACTGAGGTCAGACATGAGACAACACACGGGCTGGTGTCTGTGACATCAATATGTACACATGCCCTCTCGTTTGTCATTTCTCCAAGAGATAATATTGATAACAAAAAACATAAAGAACACTTCTCTGGTAATTAAGTCCCACTCTATCCCCTTCATAGCTCTCATACTATTTCGTATCTTCTAAAGAGTTTATATAGGTGGGTATCATCCTTTGGAAGCCTTGACAGGACAACTCTTCAACAAAATATTGAACAATTTTAATCTTTGAATTTCAGATAGCTCTGAAATACATTTCTTCATGATGTACCCTAAGTTCACAATCACATATACCCTTCAAGAGTTTGTGTATATTTACATAATTTTAAACATAATTACTCTCCTAAATAATTTTTTATCCTTTAATCCATTTCAACAAATCAATTGCTTCCAAAACAAAAGAGTGGTAAATTAGTTCAAGCACCCAAATAGAAAAGCTAAAAATGCTTTTAACATTTTATTAATTTCCTTTTAATTCATCCCCTTTATCTCCCTCACAAACACATATTCAATAGAAATTCAGTGAAAACAACTCAAGTGAGAAAAAAATATTTCACCCTTCTGACTAAATGTAAGACACAGACAGAGAGAAGACGAATCAGAGGCCAAATCAGAACTCAATGAGTATGGCTGCCACTGCTTCTTTGTCAAACTGCAACCTGTGAATTTACATACATCATTATACTTTTTCTGGGAGACATCTGGCTAAAAGCCATAACAAGAAATTTTAACTGCTGACACATTTATTACTGTAAGAATAAAACACTCTCTATTTTACTTTTGCTTTTCTAAAAATTAAGGTAACAGCATAATTAAACTTATTTTCTTTCAATTCAAAAATAATAATCCCACATGCTGATCATGTTGCTGTAACAAACAAAATAAAATAACACCACAAAACAACAAAAAAACCTCAACCAAACCATTGTTTTCTGTCACATTTTATGGAGTTCTCAAAGCATTTGTATAGCAGGTCACCCCCTTCTATGGTGGGGAACACCAGGGCAGTGTTCCCACTACCCAAGGCTGACATTATACACAGCCCAGTGACCTGCCCACTAAGCCTGAAACATGAAAAGAGGAAAAGTGGGGATAACAACGTGCACAGCCAAAGAAATGCATCAAGCAATTACAGCCTAGGAAGACAAAAGGGTTTTTGCAGGTAACAGACTATTGAGTTTACAAATGTAGCTCCTGCAAATAACTCAGTTATTTTCAAAATCTAAAGAAATCAAGAGCCTGACTAAAGTAAACCCTTGAGAACTAAAATAATCCATTAAATATATAAAATCAATCAGTGCATATGAAAACTTAATTTGCAATGGCAAACAGGAACAGTCTACATATAAATCTCTCCTCTCTATTTCTAATGCAACTCCTTCAATTGCATCCAAGTCAGTCCTCCAAGAGAGTGTGGAAAGAGATTTTTTTTCCATAGCTGCTTTATTTCTTAACCACAGCACTCATACGAACATAAATCATAGGAGCCTCAAGACATTAATTTATGAAAAGCTATTATTTTTAGTCACCAATATAAGCTGATGTTTACCTATACCAAGCACGTAATCTAATGCAATCAAATAACAAAGACAAAAGCATTAGACACAATTAACATATACCAGTGGGAGCACTTAGGAACTAAATTAGTTTCATTTACATTTGACAGAATCTCCCTGCTGCACCAAATCCAAAGAAATTTCTTCAAAATCACACTTTTACAACTTTTAGAACTGCCTTTTTTTGTCTACCTTCCTCATCACCAAAAATATAGCAGCATCTGGGCTTGGAATCTGCACTCTCCTCAGCCTCAAAATGCTGGGAGATAAGTTTATTTACAGAGAACTCCAAGTTTACAAAAGAGAGGCTCAGACAGTCAAAACAGTGCTGACATCCTGAGGAGGAACAAAACGTTGTATAGTAGCACAGAATTTCTGAAAGTCTTTTAAAAAGTGCTGGAAAGAATTCAGTGAAGATGTAGAGTTTTTTTTAAAGCAGATTCTTACTTTTTCCATCACATGAATAAAATCATAAAGCCAAGAGATATGCACAGAGGTGTTCAGTAGATCTGTGATTTGCAGAATTGATATGACAGGTGAAAAAATGAAGATATGAAGACAAACTACTATTGCTTTTATTGGCATTCACAACTCTCCTACCTGACTTCCTAGTCCAAGTTTTTCTTTCAATCATTAGGTATATCAGTTTTTAAATAAAAATAAACTTCAATAATTCCAGGAGTCACTACATTAAGAAAAATACATACAAAAAGGCCTGCATTACAAACAAAATATGGACCACAGTTTGTGTGCTGTAAAGTTCCAATTCTTGTTCTCATTTATACAGCCCCTGAGCTCATTGTGTGAGTCAGCTTAAGTGCTGCTCTGTGAGCTGGAGTTCACACAGTTTCCTGAGCATCCTGAGGACAGCAGCATAACTAATGGCATTTACACTCACAGCATCAATTTTTCTTTATTTCCACACAAATTAGACAAAATTCTTTACTGCACAGAACCACTGCCAACACTAATAACCACTTTAGCATACAAAAATAGTTAGTTTTTAAGTAAAGCCAGACTAACACCAATTCTTCAGAAGATTTACCTAGAATTTATACCATATTTCCTATTTATTACCTGCCTTACAACCAGATGATAAAAAAAAAACAAAACAACCACAGGCAACTTCATGTTCCATTATGTTGAAGGCCCTCTTTACCAAAAACCTCACATCTCAAAACACAAACTCATTTTTTGGGGACCTATTGCAAGATACTAAAAAACTGCAAAATGGAGAGTACAAATTTGTTCAATTATTGATTTTAAGTCCACAAAGAATATTCTTGAGAAATTATTTTTTAAATACAGGGACTTGAAATTATTTTGAAGTCTAAAAAGTCTACTAAAATAGTCACAAATTATTACATTGATAAAAATTTTTAAAATAGCATTCAAAGGGTACATTTCTGTTTGTCACATCACAACAGTAAGACTTTCTAGAGCAAGCCTCATACAAAAACTAACTCAATCTTCTTTCTCCTTCCACCTTAAGTAAAAAGGAAAAGGCAATTCCTCCAATGCTGTAACAAGATCTGCAGGGTTTGACCACACAGATACTATGACACAGACTTCCTCCTCAATTTTCCAAAGTTTAAAGCAAAACACTAGAACGGTTTTTGGCTAATTCTCTAAATCCATAATTCTTTATGGAAAGAAATATGCATCTTAAAGGAATACTTAAAGAATTAGTATCATATGGACTAAGCTACTTCAGTATGTACAAATTTATTAAGGAGTGAACCTTTCTAAGGTATTTCTTTTTTAAAGACTAGTAATTCCCAATCTGGCATAAGAACTAATCCTCCATTTGTCATGATTCTTTTTAATTAGCATTAAGTAGACTCAAAATGAAGTGAGGACTTAACATTTATCAACTTCTGCATTTCATTAGTAAAACATAGCAAGAGAGAGTCTAACATTGTTCTAAATTTCACGGCTGTAAATAAAGTATTAGTAGGAGAAATTTCAGGGATTGAGCCCCCTAGGAAAGGAAGAATTTTTTTATCTGTATAACTACTACAGCCTTAAACACATGATACTTTTAACCTTAAAAAGAAATTTTTCTTTCCTTTTAAGGTTTTAGAAAATGTGTATTTGGTCTAAGAGTTTGATCCACTGAAATATTTTCCTTCAAAATATGCAAATCAAAACAGAAGTGTAAACAGCTGCAACTGAGATACAGGGAAAAAATTACACAGATGTCAAAAAAGCACATAAGCAATGCCAACACAAAATCAGAAAATCCACAATAACAAATTTATTCCTACCAGAATTCAGACTTTTTTCAATGTTAATCATGCAAAACAGTTAAAATCTTGCAAA